ATGTAAACTTTTGAATGGGGTCATTTTTATAAATTCAGTTATTATTTTGTCTTGTGGAGTATATGTTAACATCTGTTATGTGAAATAGCTTATACAGGACCGTACTAAATAAAAAACAACATGCATTTTGTTATATAAAACTAAAAATACAATTGTGTTTCAATTATCAACATTTTGCACATTCTGCAAGGGGTATGTAAACTTATGAGCACAACTGTATATTTTATGAATATACATTATATTTAACAATTTCCCACACACTTCAGACACTGAGATTTGGCATAATGGCTCATGGAAATCAAGCTTACCATCAAAGGAATAAATTACATCTTAAAATATCAAAGGATAGCAAAGTCCACTAAAGGAGGTAGAGCTTTTTCGCATTTGGCTCCCAAATTCTGGAATAGCCTTCCTGATACCGTTCGGGGTTCAGACACACTCTCTCTGTTTAAATCTAGATTAAAGACACATCTCTTCAGCCAAGCATTCATATAATGTATCTCATAACCTTGTACTTAAGTTATATCTGATCAAATGCACATTATTATTATTCTTTTGCTTGGGTTAAACACATAATTTTTTGCATGGTTGGAACAGCAGCTACGCTAATTTTTCTCTATTTACTTCTCTGTTTCTGCCAAGGGATTGGCATCCCGTGATAACTAGGATTTACACAAGCTTCAGTCTGGATCCAGAACACCTGAGAAGAGATGATGCAACCCCTCAGAGGACCTCAGATGATGCCAACCCTGAAACAACTTACAGAACTACCACATTTTGTTATAAGTTTGATCGCATCATATAATAATTGCTGTTAATAGTGTTCATCGACTGTTTGATTACATGTCATTAACTAACTGCATGATTTCTGTACATTTCTGCCATATGGACATCAACTTGAGATAGTCACCACTGATAAGCTACTACTAAATATAATGTAGAAACTTTCATTTTCTATGAAGCTACTTTGCAACAATTTGTATCTTGAAAAGCGCTTTGCAAATACATGTGAATTGAACTGAAAATGTGAATGAAAAAATATTTCAATAAAAAATAGGTATTTTTCGCAATTGAAACATATTTCACAATTTTACTGTTTTTACTGTAATTTTGATCAATTAAATGTAGCCTTGATGAGCAGAAGAGACTAAAAATACTTTAAAAATCTTAGTAATGTAAAAGTTTAAACTATAGTCTTTTCAAAGTGGACATTTCTAATTTCCTATTTTCTTTATACAATGGCAACTTTTTTCTGAAGTAGTAGAAAGTATTGTGGTGTTGTTTTTATGTCCAAGTTACTGATCTTTTGTGGTAAAGAAGAAGAAGAAAGAAACCCTCTTAAACCAGCCTAAAGTGTTTAGCTGGTCTCCCAGCTTGGTTGATCTGATTAAGCCAGTCTGTTTTGAGGTTTTAGAGAGGTTTGGGGTGCTTCAGTTGGCCGGTTAAACCAATTAAGACCAGCAAACCACTTCAGGCTTTGTTAAATCAGTTTTCTCAAGAGTCCAATTAAGCTTGTCTAAGAAGAAAATTGGAAACTGTCAAATCATCTTTTATGAACTTTTAGCTCTGTACACGTGCTTGTGTTTTGACAGATCATCACTGAGCTAAACGCTAAATTGAAGCTGTGATTTACGGAGGACACGTTGTTCCTGAAGATTCATGGCTTGTATAAAACCCTCTTACGCAGCAGCTCCCGAGAGCCACGTAAAACAGACTATTGGAGATTTCAAGGCCTCCCCACTTCGTCTCACACATACGGGTCATTTCCTCACTGAGGTCGAGAGTTTGCTTTTAAAGCAAGCAAAAGCTGTTAAACGACAATGGATTATCGAGGAAGCAGATACGGTGGAAAAACAGGTGAACTACAAAGTATTTTCACCCGTGAACAATGAGATTATTCCTTCCTTTGTCTCCAGTGCTTCAGGCATTTTAATATTGGAGATTTAAGATATTAGAAACGTTTATAATGTCTCATTTAGATATTAAAGCAACATTCAGGGCCCAAAGCTATACAGCGCAGCAAAACAGATTGGAGTTATAAAGCTAAATACAGTTTTAAAAAAAAGGTAAAAGTTTCATGTTCTTGTTGTTATTGTTATTTTGCACATGGAATACTAATATATAATACTGTATACATTTTTTTGGACATGCACCATGGTAATACTACGGTATTCTTTGAACCTTGGAACATAAATCCCATATATACAGTGGGTATTGAAAGTATTCAGACCCCCTTAAATTTTTCACTCTTTGTTATATTGCAGCCATTTGCTAAAATCATTTAAGTTAATTTTTTTCCTCATTAATGTACACACAGCACCCCATGTTGACAGAAAAACACAGAATTGTTGACATTTTTTAAGATTTATTAATAAAGAAAAACTGAAATATCACATGGTCCTAAGTATTCAGACCCTTTGCTCAGTATTTAGTAGAAGCACCCTTTTGATCTAATACAGCCATGAGTCTTTTTGGGAAAGATGCAACAAGTTTGTCACACCTGGATTTGGGGATCCTCTGCCATTCCTCCGTGCAGATCCTCTCCAGTTCTGTCAGGTTAGATGGTAAACGTTGGTGGACACCCATTTTTAGGTCTCTCCAGAGATGCACAATTGGGATATGGTAATCATTCAGTGACAATATTTATAGTACCGTAGTTTTATCATCTGACACCATTACTGTACCATCCCAGCAAACAAAAATATGTTCTAATAACATTTTGCTGAATAAAACATTATTTCTGAATGTTCCAAAAAAAATAAAAAAATCAATTTTTGAAATGCCTTAAAAAAACTTTTTTCTTTTTTTCTTGGTTATGCAAACATTAGGAAACTTTCCATTTTAGTATTTGGCAAACATTGTGAGAATGTTACTTTTGAATGTTCTCTAAACATTTTAACATTTAAAAAATATTAGGTTCACATAAAAAAAAAAAAAAAAAAAACCCATTGACAATGTATGAATAACTTTGTTGTGCTCACATTTTGAGAACATTAGTAAAGGACAAATAACTTTGAACAAACATTCTATTAACGCTACTGGTTGAACTTCAAGAGAACCTTGCCAGAACATTTTGAGATCGTTCGATGTTCCCCGTGTCCTTATATGACTCTTGCAGACTCCATTTGAGAGCGTTTAACATCTCTGCAGCTGTGGCTTCTTGGAGAGTTCAAAGCAGCTTTTGTCATGTTTTTTTTCAGGCTCTGCACTGATCCGCAGGTGTCTGCTCTTCCAGCGTGACTTGGTTTGCCTGCACTAAGCACTAAACCAGCCTGAGCATTAAACACCACCAGCTGTCATGAATGCAGCTAATGGGTGCTAGATGTTAGAGTCTCAAGATCACCTTTCTCCATTATTTCATCTCATTTGATTCATGCTGACAGAAATGACTATTCTCTAGAATCTGAGGGTATTCATTTTACACTCATCTCAAAGCAGATTGGAGCTGAAGATGTGAAGATCCATTCATTTTTTAGCCCCTGCTGGTCGATGTCATAACTACACCCTCATGCTGGTAAAATGATTATCTGACAGTTATTATCTACAGTCATTCAAAAGTAGCCATGCATTCTGAGGAAATACAATAACAACACTTTTTTTTATCATGCTAACATCTAGTAAACAAAGTT